TTCCCACCCTTGGGATCGTGAGGGCGCCTAACCTTTCAGAATGCTAGGCAAGCAAATAGATAGAGATGTAAATATGCTAACACTAACCAATTCAATAAATAGCAGCAATTTAAACCAAGACAGATTAAAGGAGTGCGAAATCTCATAATAATCCAAGTACTAATACACGACTACCCAAAATCTGGTGTCACAATCCACGACTTCTGAGAGTCACTACAAATACTGGCTGAAAGAAAATAAGAAACTAGGATAACTGGAAGGGGACTCCAGGGTCTACAAATGCCGGCAGAGCTACCTTGGGTCTCCTGTTGGACTGAAGGCAGCAACTCCACTCGGGTTAACACGGTCCGGTACCGAAATCTGCATAGAAAGTGCAGATTGCAGTATCAATACAACCGACCCCATGTATTGGTAAGTGCCGAGCCTAGCCTCGGCGAAGTAGTGACGAGGCTAGGACAAGACACGTACATAAACTTGTGCAGTTAAGTAATATACGGGCATAATAACAAATAATATAAGCTAAACACATAATAACGGGATGGGTAAACATGCTGAGGGAAGTACGAGATCATGAGAATAAAACAATAAAGAAAATACAGCAAAACTAGTGCACGGCATCACCCTTTGTGCTTTTACTCTCGTCCTCACCATGACAAATGAAATGAATAATGATAATGAATATAAAATGGCACGGCATCACCCTTCGTGTTTTACACTCTTCCTCACATGATAATAAATATGCAATGGCACGGAATCACCCTTTGTGCTTTACACTCTTCCTCACGTGATAATAAATATGCAATGGCACGGTATCACCCTTCGTGCTTTACACTCTTCCTCACATGACAATGAATATGCAGTGGCACGATATCACCCTTCGTGCTTTACACTCTTCCTCACCCAAACAACAAAACAATAACAACTGGGCAGTAGAATTATTAATAACAAGCCCCATTTTAATATTTAGTTTCACAATGTCAATCTCAACTTTAAGTCAAAACTCAACCAATATCCAATTCCAGGAAAAACGTGATAAGAATTTCCAAACATGAAGAATAACCAGTTTAAGCCTGAACAATACGAATAAAGAATACAACAATCACAAGAATAAGATTCACTCGTATGCTATGACTCCACCACAACGTATAGATACTCGTCACTTCACCTATGCGTTGTACTCAACAACCAAACACATAGCAAATAGACAACAATACCTAATCCCTCAATCTAAGGTCAGCCACAACACTTATCTCGCTACCACGGCCAAACTCAAAGCTCAAACACCACTTTTCCCTTCTCACGAGCCTCCGGACCAATAGAATCTACCAAATTACCAACCAAACAATTCAATTTAAGCCTTAGGAACTACCCACAATTTCAAGGAATTCAATTTAGGCCATTTTGGAAAAAGTCAACACCCAGGCTCGCTTGGTCCAAACCCGAAACTCGGACAAAAACCCGATTACCCATTCACCCCCGAGCCCGGATATACAATTGGTTTTGGGATCCAACCTCAATTTGAGGTCTAAATCCCCAAATTTCGAAATTCCTAAGTTCTACCCAAAAATTCCCAATTCCACCATGAAAATCCAAGATTCTAGGATGAAATCTTGAAAAAATGAAGTAAAAGAGTGCAAGAAATGAGTTAAGAATCACTTACTTATGATTTGGGGAAGAAAAAGTGTTTGGAAAATCACCTCTTATGTTTTAGGGTTTGAAAAATTGAAGAATGAATAAAAAATCCCGCTTATATAGCACCCTCTGATCCTCACTACGCGGTCCGCAAAATCCCAAGCGCGACCGCAAAATCTCCATCGCGGCCCGCGAATTTCCCACCGCGGCCGCATTCCTCTACTGCGGTCCGCGAATTTCCCACCGCGGCCGCACTTCCAAGATCCGAGACCTTCAACTTTGCAATTATCCAACACCTGGTTTTTTTCTAAGTCCAGACATCCCGTAGCCTATTCGAAACCCACCCGAGCCCTCGGGGCTCCAAATCAAACACGCACACAAGTCTTAACACATCATATGAACTTGCTCGGGCAATTCGCCAAAATAACACCTAGAACTACGAATTTAACACCAAATTGCATGAAATCTACACAAGAGTTTTAAAACTTCTAACTTTTCAACCAAAGGTCTGAATCACGTCAAATCAGTCTCGTTTCTCACCAAATCTCACATATAAGGTACAAATATCATAATGAACCTGCACCGAGCTCCGGAACAAAAATGCGGGCCCGATACCAACAATATCAACTCCTTTAAATTATTACGTTTTCAGCCTTTTCAATTTTCTTCAAAAATTAATTCTCGGGTTAGGGACCTCGGAATTTGATTCCGGGCATACGCCCAGGTCCCATATTTTTCTACGGACCCACCGGGACCGTCAAAACACGGGTTCGGGTCCGTTTACCGAAAACATTGACCGAAGTCAACTAAAATCAACTTTTTAAGCCAAAAAATTATTATTTTTCTCAATTTCCACATAAAGGCTTCCTGAAAACGCGTCCGGGCTATGCACGCAAATCGAAAAGGAATAAAATGAGGTTTTGAATGCCTCGGAACACGGAATCGAGTTTTAAAACATAAGATGACCCTGTGGATCATCAGAAATTAATATTTAACTAATGAGAAAATCTCATCCGTCCGATCGGTTACTTGATGGATGTACCGGATTAAATGAGAACCTTTATAAATTGGTCATCTCCCCATCCATTAGGGTTACCATATTTGTTTCTCTCTTCCATCACTATAGTCGGCGGTAACGAAAGCTAGGGCAAGGTGCGAGAAACCAATTTTGAATTAACGCTTCCGCTTCAGGATAATGGATTTCGCTTCAGGTATGTTTTCTGTAACGATTTTGTGTAAGATTATCATGTTCAAGATCCTGGTATGCAATTAAAGTTTATATTCACATTCCCTTGAAAAGGCGTCTCGAAAATCCCATAAACTCTTGGAATATTCACAAAGAGATCAAAATATGGCCGGATACTTCTTGACAATCAAATAGTTCAAGAAGTTGGAGATCAAATACATCCCAGGAGGCTGCATCATCTTACATTCGAGAAATACGCTGCTTCAACCCTCAAAATCACGAAGATAATCAGGAGGGAGAAACAGAATTGTACTCATAGTTAATTAGTAACAATATTTTTCTCTTATTTTGTGATTGCAGTTTATTTTTTACGAATATCAAAATTTTATTGCAAACACATACATTTTACGAAATGAAAACAAGATGGTTCTAACACCGTACTATTATGGTCATGAATTTTTTTGTAAAAAAGAATTGGTCGTCTAATCCTGTTATGAAGTAATCTTTTAAACAAACAAACAAAGTGTTCGAATTCTATTGTGATTTGGGAAGCTCACAAATTTGCTTAAAATGATCATAAGTGACACCAAAATTTGAATAATGTTACAACTTACAAGGTTGTTGCCAGTAATCAAAATTGTAAAGTTTTGACTCTATCCCAAAGACAACTATTGGAAACCGTCTTCTGACAGCTGGGTTCACTCCTCAAATTTTGTCTTATATTTCATCCTTTGTATTTATGTTTGCATTGATCATGTCAAATGGCACTTCCTCTGTCTATATCTCAACTCTCTAGATAATGGGATCAAACTAGTTTTGAAAAGCATCCAAATGCCATTTTTCATGGCATATCACATATGTACTAAGAGGCTGTTTGGATTGGCTTTTAAACTGTTCAAATCAGCTTTTAAGTTCTTTTTAGCTTTTTTCAGTGTTTGGGAATGTCAGAAAAGTGCTTAAAATAAGTTAAAAACTGCTTAAAACAAGCCAAAAGCAATAAGCTGGACAACCCCAACTTATTGTTTTTTGGCTTAAAAGTTATTTCTGCTGAAAAGCCACTTTTTTTAAGTCAATTCAAACGAGCACTAAGTTTATACTAATTGAATAAGCCCTTTTATATTACGAGTCCATTAATTAATTTACATAAAACTAGTGAAATAAGGCTCGTGTTATTAGAGTCACGCTATTTCCTTATGGATGGGTAAAATCATAGATAAGTACAGTACGTACATTGTCGCCTCTAATTTTAATTAAGTAAAATCATTACTGTCTCTAAATCATGACAGAACATCAACTGCTTTTTTATTTTAATTTATTTAAAGAAAAACTAGAACTTACAGGAGAATAGAGAAGATGATCTGTTGGATTAGCGCAAAACATAATCATAGAAGCATGCCTCTTTTCCCTTACGAGATTTTGAGCCCCAAAATCGTCCTTTGATCAATGATTCATTGGTCATTATTCATTAATATGCTCTTTTTTCAAGAATTCACAAACCATGAAACTCATCAGCAATCCAACCTTATTCTCAAACTTGGTACTTACTAGAATAATTGTCACTTTTGCATGTTCATTTTGTATATAAGTTGTAGGACTCCCAAATTTTGATCGACCAAAATATTTCTCTTAAGCGTAATACTTTTCCTGAATTTGCAAGTATTTTTAATCCCCAAAAAAGAAGGGAAATTAAGCTAGCGTTTGGACATAGATTTGGTTGAAATTTACAAAAATAAATTTTTGAATATGAGTTAAAATTGTATTTGGATATGCATTTTACTTGAAAAGAATTTGAAGTTTTGTGAATAGAAAAACTTCAAAAACTACTCTAGAGTTATTTTTGGGATTTGAAGATTTTGTTTCAAAATCTGTCAAAAAATGGCTAAAATATGTAAACAAACAGATATTTGAAAACAAAAGCCATTCTAATTATCCCTTATTGGCCAAAGCAAGAAATTACGTCCAAAAAAAAAAAGAGAGAGAACGCAAATGAAAATGAATGACATAAAGTAGTGATCAATACCAAAATGTCCACAAAGTTTTGCGATAATAATTTGGCCATTTTTGTAATCAGATATTTCCAAAGTGGGACAAGCAAAATTTGAAATTTTTTCAGTCAGTCCAAACTTCAAAGCCGCCTCGGCGCAATACATATATAAAAAGAAAAACGAGGATCACTACGTCCTGGCTTAGAATGCGCCTTCTCTCTTCTCTGCAGACAAACCATAACGAGAAAATTTCGGCCTCCAACCATTTCTAACTTAATAAAAGCCTTCACGTTCGAAACCCTCGCGACGTCCGCATTCCTACATTTCATTCAGGGGACCAAAACACCATGTAAAAATACATACCAAAAATCAGGAGATCAATGATTTCCTCTGAATTTTTCGTTCGATAACTTACTTTTTGATCAACAGTTTTTTGTATTCATTTATTTTTTATATCTAGAACCAATGGACGAAGAAATGGAGGAATTCATTGTAGAATGTTCGGACGTATCCGAAATTGACTCGGAATATGAGTTTGACGCCGCTCAGTTCTTTGATTTCTGCCGGCCGGAGTCAACTTCCGAGGCTGAAGAAGCCGAACGCTGGTTTCAAACTGCCGGCAATTATCCGCCTTCTCGTAAGTCATATATAAACGAATTTGCACGAGTGTAATTAAAATTATATATCCGCCGGCTAGTTTAATGATAAAGTCGTGATATTCGCGTTGCAGCTTTTATTTCAATTTGAGAAACACAATTCGTTGGATTCAATATTGTGTTGATGTCTGATTGTTTAGCCAGTAGAAATGTTATCTGTTTAGATTAAATATGTTGTTCTGCACTTCTGCTGGATTTGATGCTTGTTAGTTTTGAAATTATCTTATTAGACTAATTATCTGAGAATGCTGATGGAATGTACCTTAGTTCCATGTAATCTCGTGATTCATTGATTGTGAGTTACAGAAATTAGATGGATCGTTTATAATAGACTATGCGTGTTAGAAGCACAAGTCATAAGTTGATCTTTTTGATAGCATTTCTTTTATCCGCTTAATGGAGATTTTCCTATCGTAGTTTCTTACTCACTTTTTCTTTTTTTATTTTGACTGTTTATTTGGAAACTTGTTAGCTCTCATTATAAAGTTAAACCTGGGGAAAGAGATTACAGCAGGAAACTCAAGTGGTTGCTCAAGGTTACAAGAAGGGAAAACGGCAAAATCAAATTGCAACAACTCATACATTTCTCCTGTTGGTTCGCCCTCCAAATCAAAAATTAAAGGTACTATATATGTAGGCATTATCTCGTTCACCTTTTGCATTTCCAGGTTGAAGAACTTCAAAGCTGCTTAATAACAGTTCAACAAAATCTGATCTCAATTTTAACTCACATCAGAATATTCAGCTGATGGATCTCTTTGCAGTATCAGAAGAGAAGTTCTGTTATACTAGCACATCTTAATCGAATCATGTGTTGAGTTTAACTCAAGTTTGGTTTTTTGATATCCGGTTCTCTTAAATTGTACTAATTTGTTTTTCTTCAATAGGTTTGTTTTTCAGTTAAACTTGTGTGCTATCACAACGCAAGATTTGAGCTAAAACCTGATATTCTGATTTGGGTTATCCTCTAAACTCTGAAGAGGCACTTAATCAAATTATACTAGTTTGTCTAGTTCCGGAATCTGTTGGACTTATTTGACCTAACTTGCAGAAGAAATAGTTACTAAAAAACATGCATATTCAAAATCACTCTTTGGGGCACTGCAAGTGTTAGTAGTTGCATGGTTCGTGGAATTATTATCTGATTATAAGTATGGCTTCACCATTCTTTTCTCTTTATATTCTTGCCTTTAAATTAACTATCTGAGTGTGCTTATTAGGTTTAGTGTCAGAAATCTGTTAACAGTAGATTAAACAGTAATTTTATTAGCTCCTATTTGCTCATGGTTAACTAGCAAGAGTTAAGAAAAAATAATTGCAACTTATGTCTTGCAAGACTTCAACAGTGTTTAACTAGTTTTCCTTGAACCCCCTCAGGAACAATATCCAAAGGTCAAAGGGCTCATGAAATTTGTAAGACAAATCCGGAGCCAAGATCTTCAAAAGCAAGAGGTTCAACATTAATGAAGCCCACGGCTAGTCATTTGGCTAAACAGAAGTATGTAAAAGATATACATTCTAACTTTTTTTAAGGCTATACTTTCAATTACTATAAGATGAAGTCCAAGTGAAAATTAGTTTTCTTACATTCCTTCATGCCAAAAATCTAGAGAAACTGCTTTCTGCATAATTACGTCAATCACAACATTACTTAAAACCTGCAGTTCAGGCTTGTGTATGTTTCTGCAGTTCAAGTCATTCAGTTTATTGGCACTCTTGACTTCTTGGACAAGTTTAAGTATTACTAACTTTTTGCTTGCATTTTCTCATTCTTCAATTGCTAGGTTTCAGAAAACATCTAGCAAGACTGATGTGACAAGCTCACAGAATTCTTTGGCATCTGAAAATTTTGCTACCAAAAGGCAAAAGCTAGAGATCGGTTATCTACTTAAGGTGCATGCAGTTATTCAATTACTTTTTGATTATAGTATTATTTTGTTATACTCTGGTTGGCTTCTAAATGTTTACTTCACACATTTATTCCTTAAACAGAAGGGAACCTCATTTCTCTGTCCTCTTTCAGTATAATGTTTCATCCATCCAACTCCTTCCATAGGATTTTTTTCCCTCGTGTATGTCAAGTTTAAATATGCCGGCTTATTTTTACTCGTTATACCTTTTTCCTAGATCTTGGGACTGTCTTCTCCATGAATTAATACTAGGAATTTGATATTTGATATTTTGGAACTTGGTCTATTCAGGAAAAGTAGTTAATTTAGATTAGTTGTGGTTATGGAAAGCTACGGGCAAAGATAGAAGCTAGAAAAGCATGGAGGTAAAACTATTTTTTTTTTACTTCACTGACAACATTAAGGTACTCAATATCAGATGTATCTCCATGTAACAAACATGGTCATTCAGTTTCATGAAATAGACCTAACAAAAAAAAATTAGGTGCAAAACAGTATCCTTTTTGGCAATAGGTTCTAGCCTGATGAAATTACTTCAGTGATTGCTTGAGAGAAGGTTAATGCTGAGAAAACAGTGGCAAATAGGTAGTAAGACATTTGGAGTAGCATTTACTCTTCGAGATTAAAAAAAAAACATGATTTTCACCTTCCAAGTGATATTGGTTTAGTGGCATTAGATTTATTTGTCTAAACGATGCTGTTCTGTACAATATACCTTCACATGTATGGTCAGATGACAGAATTAACCTGCTCGAGTTAGTTAGCTATCTCTAGGATATGTCAAGGAAGAAAATATTCCCATTACTAAAAGTTGTGAACTGCTAGAAATATTTTTAATTCCTCATTTTTATCTTGCAAACCAGATTGCTCATTTGAAGCATCAACGTCTGTTATCTCACAAGATGTTGAAAAAGGTACAGTCTGAAGGCTTCTTAATTGTGGTTTCACATTACAGATAATGTTTGGAAGCTATTTAAGCATCATTGTTTGCAGCTTGTGAGCTATTACTTTGTTTTGCAGGAGACCTCAACCATCTCTAACTCGGCACATCCCAAATCTAAAGTTACTGTTCCAAGAGAACCTGAACTGGAAACTCTGCAGAGGGCACAAAGGCGAACGTATGCTTTTAATTTAATTGTTTGGTTTCTTAGAAGATGTTTGGATTGGCTTATTTTAAGTGTTTATTGGCTTTTAATCACTTTTCTAGTTTTTGTGGTGTTTGGCAATGATAAAAAGTGCTTAAAAAGCACATACTTTTAGGCTCGAAAAGTACAAAAATAAGCCAAAAGCTAAAAGTTGGGTATTACCAACTTATGGCTTTTGGCTTTTAGCTTATAAGCTATTTTTTAAAAGCCAATCCAAACACCCTCTTAGTCTTGTATCTTGGTATAAAACTGCTTCCGGTACTAGTTGGTAATCGGCTCTCGGGTCTTTCTGGTCAAAAGTTTCAGGTGCAACAAGGACTCAGAGTCAAGTGAAATCACAAAAGCCAAAACCCAAATGTTTAAAGCACGGCCCGTGAACAGAAATGTTGGTACTCCAAGTAGTGCTCCCTTGTGAAAACATTTCAATAACATGACTTCTCCACTTAATCTTTCATCTGAGACTTTCTGTTTGTGCTTTTTGCAGATTCTCAAGGCTCCTGCATTACCTCCTCTCAGAAAGACTAGAGCACCGTTGCCTGAGTTTCATGTAATTAATCATTGCTTTTTCCACTGCTCCTATTTCTCACATTGATGTTTAATCAATTAAGCTTACCTCGGAAAAGGGTCTCCTTAGTCCTTAATCTGCTCGTTAGTTTTTTCAGTTGAAGATATGGAGAATGCTGCTCAACCTTCATCTTTTGTAGGATACTGTTAGTGTAGATTTTTTTCATATTTTATCCTGTCACGGAGTATTTAGAAAAGTTACTGGTGTTCCATACTATTGGTGTTTGTGTCTAAACGCTCGAATTGGTGAGGGGGAATGAATTGGCACAATACACATTATTTATAGGAGTCTTTAGATTGTCTGTTGACCATAGTGATCTTTTGGCTTTGGGGAGTAAACTAAGTTCTTTAGAAAAGTAAATTGAGTCCTTTTTTAAGTGTCCTGACTAATTTGTGTATGCTCTAAGTTTTCTTGTACTTAACTGATGCAGCTTATGATTAAAGCAACATTGCAACATTTGCATGTATTCTGCAACTTTAGTTTCTATGCTTTCAATCGATGGGAGCTAAGTCAGCTAACTCTTTCTTTTGTTTTATGGGTTACTGCAGTTATCAAGCACTCTAAATGCTGATTCTGCCACACAGAATGCTTTAGTGGACTTTAAAAGGTGAGATGGGCTTCTTGACCTCACCAGTCCAGTAACTATACGCCTAAGAACAAAATTAAAACTGTGATGTTCTTAGTTTTGCATTAAACTGCTCTTAACTATTTTCAGAGATCTCATGAGACAAAATGCATATTTTCCTCTTGGAAGCATGTAGAATCTTTTCATGAATATAGTTAACATCACCTTTGTGATTCACCATATAGAATTCAATCTAAAAGCATCACAAAGTATCATTCCGTGTATAGCAAGTCCAGCTTGTGCTTATACTGTTTGGTTGATTCTCAGACCAAACACTCAAACTGCTGTTAAGCAGGGGAAATCTGTGACATCACTCAAATCAAGATCTCATAAATGTAACAAGGTAGCATATTACCTGACTTATGTTATCCTCTTCTAGTCTTTTCGACTTTTGACTACATGCTATATGCTTAAAGATCATGTCTTTATACAGATCTTTCCAAGTAAGGAAGATAATGGCATAGGTGAAGACATTGGACAAGAAAGTGCATACTCAATGGTAACACATGTCATATGCTTTTGCTAGACTTTCCATTAAATGTGTCTTGTCCTCTTTTGGTTCTTTCCTTGTTTCCTCTTATTAAAGGTTAATGTATCCTTATATGACAGGACTCTAGATCCATATTTGATGAGAAACTTTCAGTGCATCCACCAATTGAACTGTTTAATAAGGTACTAGTTTCAAATGATTATGCAGGCCATATTGAATTCCTCTGAGGGTGTGTACTACCAATAACACAGTAGACTGAATGTATCGGACTTTTATATATTTCGCAACTTACTCATGTCTCACCCAAAAGACTCTAATCTTGTTTCATTTTTAATCCTAGTTATCCCTTAGATCTGAGAAGAAAACAAGTGAAGTGTCCCACCCGAAAAAGAATCCCTCAGCAAAGGTGAGGCTAAAGTTTCTTAGGGAGGACTTTTTTTGATTATGCAGATGAATTACTTCTAATACCCACTTTTCTTATGTAGGAGTTAAAAGAGAACGCTCCAAATTGTTTGCAGCTCAAAACTCGGGTATGAAGAATAGAAAGATGCTAGATTCTTTTAACTGTTGACTGCAACTTCTTCTAATTGACATTTCAATTATACAGAGATGTGTTGGAAAGCCAAATCAGTGTGCAGCAGAGAGGGGCACTCCCAGGATTGGGTACCAGTTCAGCATGAACAGGTATCCTATTGCTTGAGTTTCATAAATAGGAAAACAGAAAGTCCACAGAAGCACTTCTTATCAAGATAGAACTAGAGCTTTTGTTTACTTTTAGAGTTAATAAAAGGATGCTTACATATCGCTGGATCCTTTGAGGCCTTGTGCCACCATAGTCTTAAAGTTATGGACTTGGAATTAGAAACTATTGCTTTACACCGTTTAATTCCCTTTGGTTAAAATTCATGAAACCCTTGAAGTGTTAGTCAGTACTATTTTTATCTCTTGTTTTATCAAATGATATTCTATAATATTGACTTTTCCGTCCTTTAAAATTTAAACCCATCCCAGCTTGCCATTTGTTTGAAAACAACAACAACAACATACCCAGTAAAATCCCACTAGTGGGGTCTGGGGAGAGTAGAGTGTACGCGGACCTTACCCCTACCCCGGAGAGGGTAGAGAGGCCGTTTCCGGGAGACTCTCGGCTCAACAGAAGAGACAATAATATCAGAAAATAAACAAAAGAAAAGGCATGTAACAACAAAAGATGCCAGAAAGAAAATAACAACAATGAATAAGTGAAAGGACAATAACACAAAACTATGCAAAACAACAATGTGAACACAACATAGACCGCTCACAAACCTAAACAAAACTCTATCAGACTACTCGGTACAAAAAGGGAAGAACTCTGGACTACTCCCTAGCTCGACTACCCTCTAGCCTACCACCCTAATGCTCGACCTCCACATGTTCCTATCAAGAGCCATGTCCTCGGAAATCTGAAGCTGCCCCATGTCCTGACTGATCACCTCGCCCCAATACTTCTTAGGCCGCCCTCTGCCTCTTCTCGTACCTGCCAAAGTCAACCGCTCTGACCTCCTAACCGGTGCATCTAGGCTTCTCCTTCGCACGTGTCCGAACCATCTAAGTCGCGTTTCCTACATCTTGTCGTCCGCGGGAGCCACGCCCACCCTCTCCCGAATATCTTCATTCCTAATCTTATCCAGCCTAGTGTGCCCACACATCCATCTCAACATCCTCATTTCTGCTACTTTCATCTTCTGGATATGTGAATTATTGACTGGCCAACACTCAGCTCCATACAACATGCCCGGTCTAATCACCGCTCTATAGAACTTACCTTTGAGTTTCGGTGGCACATTCTTGTCACACAGGACTCCAGACGCTAACCTCCATTTCATCCATTCCACCCCAATACGGTGCGTAACATCCCCGTCGATCTCCCCAATCTCCCTGGATAATTGACCCTAAGTACTTAAAACTTTCTCTCTTGAGGATGACTTGTGAGTCAAGCCTGACTTCCACATCCGCTTCCCCTGTCATGTCGCTGAACTTACATTCCACATATTCTGTCTTAGTCATACTCAACTTGAAACCTTTAGATTCCAGGGCCTGCCTCCATACCTCAAGTCTCCCATTAACGCCGCCTCGCGTCTCATCAATCAGAACTATATCATCAGCGAACAACATACACCATGGCACCTCTCCTTGGATATGGTGTATCAGTGCGTCCATCGCCAAAGCAAATAAGAACGGGCTGAGCGCAGATCCTTGGTGTAACCCCATAACCACCGGAAAAGGCTCTGAGTCACCTCCCACAGTCCTAACCCGAGTCATAGCTCCATCATACATATCCTTTATCGCCCTATTGTAAGCCACCGGCACACCTTTCACATCCAGACACCTCCAAAGGACGTCCCTGGGTACCTTGTCATAGGCCTTCTCTAGGTCAATAAACACCATATGCAAATCCCTCTTCCTATCCCTGTATAGTCCCACCAACCTCCTGATAAGGTGGATAGCCTCCGTAGTAGAACGACCCGGCATGAACCCAAAATGGTTTTCCGATAGACACCGCCCTCCTTATCCTCCCTTCCACCACCCTCTCCCAAACTTTCATGGTATGACTTAGTAACTTGATACCCGTATAGTTATTACAATTCTGGATATCCCCTTTGTTCTTGTACACCGGAACCATTGTACTCCACCGTCACTCATCAGGCATCCTCTTTGTCCTGAAGATAACATTAAACAACCCAGTCAGCCACTCTAAGCCTGCTCTACCCGCATATCTCCAAAACTCTACTGAAATCTCGTCTGGTCCGGTCGCTTTGCCCCGACTCATCTTATCCATCGCACCCACGACCTCCTCAACCTTAATGCGCCTACAATGCCTAAAGTGTCGGTGACTCTCGGAGTGCCCCATTTGCCCTAACACGATGTTTCCATCCCCCTCTTCATTCAGAAGTTTATGAAAGTACGACTGCCATCTTTGCCTAATCTTGGCCTCTTCCATCAATACTCGACCGTCCTCGTCTTTGATGCACCTCACTTGACGTTAATCTGGCAATTGCATCTACACATGCCTTGTCACTTCCATGGCGACATACTTTGTTGTTTCAGTTTTTAGCCTTTGTTTGCTGATAAAGGATTCGAGGCCTGAACCAGAAAGAAAAAGGTCTCATATCACAAAAGAAAAATAGAAAAAGACAACCTAGAGATTATTATTGCTAACCTGCTACCTTAGTGTTTGTCTTGTTTTTTGTGTTAATCTTTGCGTCTAACTTGCACATTGATCTCTCAGGAGCTTGGGAATCCGATGAGAATCTAGCGGTTAACATTTGCGGTTGTTGAATTAGTGCAAGTTGTTGCTTGGATCTAAAATGGTTCCCCCACTTGCAGAGACCTCTGTTTCATGGAAGGTAGATCCTCCTAATTCCGGGAGTTATTTGGAAATATTTGTCTTTAGTTATAGGAAATAAAAGACTGTCCTCCACACTTGCAACACCAAAATTTTGTGGCTAGCACTGTACAGCAAGTCAAATATAGTGTATTCCTTTTGGTCTGTTATGTACATCTACAAGGTACATGTGCTAGGATGGGGATTGCAGTCTTTTTAACTACCCAATACATAAATGTATACAACTCAACAGTTCAAATGAAGTTGCACAGAGGGAAAGACTGCTTCTGTCCGTTACTTAAATCCTCCTTCACTCTGCAGCTTCCATTACCTAGGAACAATTCGTGGTGTCAACATCCTTTTCTCCGTCTATTTGTTAATTACAGGGAGTGCATCCAAATTTTCATTCCACAAAGCCCTTCAAGATATGCAAAGTCCAATTGGACTTCATCGTGTCTTTGAAGGCTATACATAACAGACAGCATACATGAGATTGTGCACCATGAGTTGGCTTCACAAACTCTCGGCTTTCTGCAGCTGAAGGTTCAAGTTGTAAAGGAATGAGATAGTGTTGAAATGACAGCGGAAAGTGGCTAGGTATGGCAAGGCAGTGGTCTGTTTTGCCTGTTACCTTCCTCCGCGTTAGTGATCGCCTGGTGCAATTACGCTTCTTATCCACTGTATTGAACGTGTTTATTCCACTCCTTAAGACAAAGAGCAACTACTTTTTTTTAGAATTTAAGAAACTAATAACTGCACTGCTCAAGGTGAGGAAGCAAGAGTTTATCCTTTTAAGTAGGGGTGTACAAAGAAAACCGACAAACCGCACCAACCCGATAATTCGAGTCTTACCGGGAAAAAAAAACCCAACTATGGTTTGGTTTGATTTGGCTTGGTGTTTGAAAAAAAAAACGGCCATAATTGGTTTGGTTTGGTTTTAACTAAAGAAAGTCAAACCGAAACCAAATCAACCCGACATTACATATATAGAAGTTTTAGATATATTTAATATTTGAATATACTTATTGTGATGTGATTTATAAATATTTCTTAAACTTTTCATAATTTTATCTTTTAAGTTATTATTTCAAGGTTGGACTTAGAACTTTTGAATGTTCCAATAAGTTTTATAGCCATTAATATTAGTAACTTAAATAATGCTAACAAAAGCCCAAACCAAAATCAAATCAATATTAATGCTAACAAAGACATTCAACTCAATACTACGAACGGCAATGTATTGAATATCTATTTTGTTTTGCAATAATTTAGATAAAAATGCATAACCTATTTTTATTTTTTATTTAGCTATTAGTCATGTAATTAATACTCCCTTATTAGTCTACTTATTTTAGCATTACTTAGTACTTTTAGATTATGCTTATTTTTATTATGGCTTCTTAATTAGCAATATTATACTATTACATAATTTTATTGTTCTTATTGTTGAATATTTTAGGATAATGCCATGACACATCTCATATTTTATATTATTTTCTTGAAAAACACCTTATATAGTTGTATCTTACTGGGATTAAAGAAATATTTTGAGCACAAGTTATATGTTTTGTGCTACAAAGATTTTACGGAAGAAAAAAAATCGAAAAAACCCAAATAACCCGAAAACCCGAGAAAAACCAAGACTGAAAAACCCAAGTTTTATTGGTTTGATTTGGTCTTTAGATTTAATAACCCGACACAATTAATTTGGTTTGATAATTGCAAAATTCAAACCAACCCGACCTATGTACGCCGCTACTTTTAAGAAACTGCCTGTTTGTGATATAACAGTTTATCCTTTCATTGAATAACTGTTTGATTTCTCCTTAAAGAATACCTCCACTCCGAAGGAAAAAAGTTCTATTTGTCTTCATTTGAAATAGGCAGATCTAACGAATAATACCACTTAAATATTTTCTACTTATCTTTGGCTCGTTAAGAGCCTGTTTGGAAAGTCACCTTGGAAATGGATTTGGGTGTAATTGGGTGTAATTACACAGTTTGGCATGTTTGGCTTAGTAATTATTTGGTCAGCATGGAATTGGGTGTAATTTGAGGGGTGTAATTACACTCTCCAATTCTCAAGGGGGAGGTGAGAATTGGTGGTAATTACACTACGTAATTACAAGGTTGCTTTTTAGTTTCTTTCCTTTTTGTTTTTATTTTAATTTATTTTCTTTATAATTTTTTATTTCTATTATTTTAATTTTTTTAATTTTATTTTACTTTTTAATTTCTTTTAAAATTTTAAAATATATTTTTCTTTGTACATTATTTATCTTTTATTTCTCTATCTTTACTTCTTGTGATTCTATGTAATTGCTTATATTTTTTTTTCTTATTCTATTTCTGAAACTACACCTCCCAATATTAGAAATAATGGGTCATTAATAAACTTGGCATATAATGAGTGATGCACTTAAAGTGAAATTTCGTTGTTGAATGTGGTTATAAACTTACCATGTTTTCTAATCTTAAGTTGCAGTGGAACTTACTATTATTACGTTGGAATTTGACATATGTAAAACTATTTTATTTTTTTTTGAATATTGAAATTGTGTTATATTCATGGTTCCAAATTACTTGTTTTAGTAGTTTTGGCTCATATTCCATGTTGTCCATTTTTTAGTTAGAATTGATAGATTAGTTTATGACACTATATTTATAAATATTAATTTATTTTATCAAACATGAATTCCGTGATGTTATTACAAAACGTATATTTTTAGTTTTTGTAAGTATCTAAACTAAATATTATTAATTTAAAAAATATAGTATATAAATTATTTTTACAATATTAGTTATAAATATATGATTACTAATTAATGTATATTTACGAAAAAATATACACCTTAAATACCAAATATAATATTATTTATACTTATAAAGATTTATAGGCATATATTTATTATATTAATTTTTAAGTTTTGATAATTACTTAATTTAATTAAATTAAATCTAACTGTATAATTACACTTGTGCAACCAAACAGTAATTACACTATAATTACACCATGTCAAACAAACAGGTTAGGCTGTGTAATTACTACCCTAATAATTACACCAATTCCAATTACAGGGTGGCTTTCCAAACAGACTCTAATAGAACATACTATACTACCAATTTTTTTCGGTTTACCATTCATGAAAGCAAAAAGATGTAAAGAGGCAGTGAAACCAAAATATGACGGCAGATGCAAAACTAGACTGCTTAATTTAATGTGATAACTAGCGCTCTTTGCACTCCTCTACATGGACAAAAACACAAGTCCCAGATGGAAATAGATCTCAAAATAGATTGTACAGAATTAACAACTTTACTGGGCTATATCTGACCTATTCTGTATCTCACCCACCATAAAACATTTAATCTACAAACAAATGTGAAATAACCTTAACCATACCGTGTGCCTAAACATCTGATATGTGAAATCTCTAGCATCAAAAGAACTTTGGCCAGCATCTTTTCAAGATTCATCATCTTTGATGGATATTAAGTTATATCAGTCAACCCATGTCAAAAGGTGTTTTTGGATATAGCTTCTCGAAATCTAACGAGCCACTGTGCATCGGAGGAATTGTCGTTTTGCTGGGCTTGTGGTAGCCCTTTCCCAAGAACAAACTTTGTATAATCAATGGATTTGGGAGGGTCTAAACAAGGTTTGGTTGGTGGGGGAGGAAGCAAGGAAACAAGTACCCTAGCAACCTCATGCATCGTTGGCCTCTCACACGGGAATCTCTTTGTGCACAGCAACGCAAGCTGAAAAGTCTTCCTCACATGCGTTAAATCCATGCATGTAACAGATACTTCGGGATCTACAGCCTCCATCACGGTGTTATTATCCGCCTTTGACAATATCTGCAACACAAATTAAATTAGCCAAGGCTAATGTAATAGGAGTGAAATCCTATCCAAGTAAAAAACTAGAGCAATTAGTGGAGAATAATACCAGCTGATGCAAGTTTAAGTCATTATGAACAGGTTTTTTTCCTGTCAAAAGCTCTAGGAGAACAATGCCAAAGCTGTAGACATCTGACTTTTCAGTTAACCTGGATGTTCTTGCATACTCAGGGTCAATGTAGCCTATGGTGCCCAAGACAAAAGTTGATGCATGAGTTTTTGCAGTAGGGATGCATTTTGCAATCCCAAAATCAGAGAGATGAGCCTCAAAATTTTCATCCAGTAGAATGTTTGAAGATTTCACATCTCTGTGGATGATTCTTTGGTTGCAATCATGGTGAAGATAAGCAAGACCTTGAGCAGCTCCAACAGCAATTTTCAAGCGTGTTTCCCAATCAAGCTTCACCTTTTTGGATGGCCCTATGACATAGATTCAGTTAATGATTAGCCATTTCCAATTCTATACAGATCTAGAGCGTCATTCTCCAACAGGGAAGAAACAACAGTAATAAACATTAACTAATTAATCATCAGTATAGCACGAATATGTTTCATAAAAGATAAGAATAGGAGGCTACTAACCATGCAGAAGATCCCAGAGTGAACCATTCTCCATGTAGTCATAAAAAAGGAGATTCCCATGAGGAGAAAGTGAGTAACCATGCAAGCTAACAAGGTTTCTGTGCCTGATGCTTCCAATTGTCTCCAGTTCAGTCTCAAACTCACGCAAGCTGTGCGGATGAGTGTACAGTCGCTTGACAGCAATTGGTCGGGAATTTTTCAAAACACATTTATATACAGTGCTGGAAGCACCATATCCTATTATGAATTTCTCACTCAAGTTCTCTGTAATCCGCATAATGTCATCATATGTATGGATTGCCATATCCATGTGGAGAACCACAAGTTTGGGAGAACCTAAGTTATTAGAAGGAAAAGGGAAAAGGTTAACATTAAAACTTGAAATTTTTGAAGTACAAAAGAATAAAAAAGCCATCAAATAATTTCAACCTTGATTACTTTTAGACCCCTTCAGAAACTGATGTGGTTGATTGGACTTGTACACAGCAACTATAACCATGGATAAAAGAGCTATTAAACCCAACGCTGTGCAAACAACAGCTGTTCTGGAGAACAAGGCTGCAATGAAAAGATCACAAGTCATTTCGAAGCACATGATAGTACAATACCAAAAGATTTGGACTCTAATGCACAAAAATGAAGCATACCTTTTGACTTTGGTGCATAGGGGTCACATATTGAACCTCTCCAGTCACCACAAAGTAATGGGTTCCCCACAAAGCTGATGGTTGCAATAAGGGGGTCGTTCACTAGTGCAAATGAGTGTGTAATGAAACAAGCTAATTTCTGTACAAAAGAATACCTGTCAGGCGTGAACCGCGAGA